GTACTTTGTTTCAAAAAATCCAAAAAAAAAAAAAGAAGAGGAAGAGAGCTATTGTTATGAAATGTGAAGCCTTTGGAATAGTTCATGTGATATTAGTTATGTGAGAAGTTTTGTGCTTTCCTTACTTTGTTTCAGAAAATTTTTTTAAAAAAAAGGAAAGAAAGAAAAGAAGAATAAAAAAAAAGTTGAAAAAAAAAAAAACACAGAATGAAAGAGAAAAAAGAAAAAGAAAAATAGAAAAAATTTACCAAATAAAGTCTTCCATCAATTTAGAAGACAAACTTTCTTTTGAGGGAACAATTTTTCTCACTAGGCTCTACTTGTATTGCTCCCATATTTGGTTGATTGAAATCCTAAAGTTAGTTTATAATAAGAGTAGTGGAGTTTTGAATAACTAACTAGCCTATCTTCTAATCAATGTTTGTTTGTTTGATTGTCCACTAAAATTTGCCTTTTCCTTTGAGTGAGTTGTTGCTTTCCAACTCCATGAGAGAAAACCTTTTCCTTAAACAGTTATTAACCTGTGAGGATATGGAGTTGAGGCTTTTACTTTGATTAATTCTCAAGGCTATATATGTTGTGGTTTGTGGTATGAAGGTTGTGCTTAGTTCACACACACACACTTTTGGAAATTATAATTGAAGTAACCTTGATAGTGACTATGATCTTTTTCTAAATACCTAGGCAGTCTGGTTAGATATCCATTTGAGCTAATCAACATGCTTTCCTTCTTAACTCACGCTTAAATTGCTAGAGACTAGCAATAAGCTGGTTAAGGGTTGTGATAAAAGCATGAAAATGCATATTTAAAGTGTGCTTAACCATTGATAGTTGTGGAATTATGGGCTTAAGAATTGTATTTTTCTACAAGTAATTTCATAATTATTTATTTTATTCATGTTGTGCAAATTTTGTGGTGATTGAAGGTTTGATGTTAAATGGAGAGAATTAGAAGAAAAGGACTTGAATGCAAAGAGCTAGAAAGATGAGGATCCAAGGATTAAATTTGGAAGTTTGAATGCCCAAGTGGGATGTTCTCCATTTTTATTAAGAGCATAATTTGTGAAGTTGCTCGTGACCAGCACAAAAGGAAAACAGAAACATCAGGGGTTTCGCACCCTATATCAGGTTCCAACCCTTGGTCAACTACACAAAAACAAAAACATTAGGGGTTCCGCACCTTATAGCAAGTTCCAACCCCCTGTCCAACAAATTGTGCAGGAAGAAAGAAAAAAATAAAATTAATTCGCCATGACTGTTATCCTAATTACCAAACACTCTTATTTTATTCCCAATATAAATAAGAGTCTTTAAAACTAGGTTTAGCATCTACAAAAGCCACATTTAGGGTTTTATTTTCTTCTTTCCAATGCTAGAAAATTATGTCAAAGCGCAACTAAACTTTCAACAATGTTAGAGAGGATTTTGATTGAGGAGTTTGACTTGTTATTTTATTTTGATTCCTTCATATATTTTATTGTTTAATTTTATTTTTGAGAGATTATTAATTATTTTTTAGATTTGAAAACCCTAAAAATTATATTCATCAAATTTTATATAAGATTAGTCATACTCTTCTTATGTGTAATATGTTAGAATATAATATTGGTAGATTTGTTTTATTGGTTGATTCTTTGTTGCAATATTGTCGATTGGATATATTGTCACTCTTGGATAACTCATAAGAATAGATCAGTTTGTTATTTATTGAAATTAATTTCTCTAAAAAAAATACATTAGTTATTATTATTGGTCTTTAAAGTTAAATCTTTCGATTATTTGTATAGGATGTGAAACATGCAATTGAATAAATAGGAATCAAAATTTATAACAGTTGAACAAATCAATTAAGTGAACCCTGAATCTTGTTTATCATAATATTGTTTTCAATCCTCTATAATTATCATATCTTATTAAATATTTTTATTGTTAATTTTAGAAATCATCTTTTAATTTAATTTCTCATTGTGAAAACTCTTTTAGTTGGTTTAATATAACTTTCCTATGGATTTGACACCTAAAGCTACACTATGGCAATCGCTTAACCGAAGGGTATTAATTTTGGGGTGAGACACTTGGAATAATGTTGAACAGGACTGTGTTCTCGAGCTTCTTTTTCCTAGGCTCTAGGTTTTGAATCAGCATTACATGGCCCTGATGTGAATAGGAAAATAGAGCCTCCTTTTTCACTTTTGCTAACTGGGGTATGATCATTGGGTAATTGGGCCTATAATGGGTTTATGTCTTCCATACTCTCCACGCCTTTAGATTCAAGATCCCCTACAACCCCTTCTCCACACCCATAATTTTGAGCATTTAAAGTAGCATGCTATACATCAAAAACTTCATTACCTTTTTGACTGTAAATGGAAATAGTTTTATTTAGATTTCTTGGTGTAATCAAATCTGTTGACTCAATGTACTCTAAGAGGGGGGCGAATTGGAGTTCCAAAAATTCTCTCCTTTTTGCAACCACAAAACCAAAACTAAAGAGAATAGAGAAGAAGAGCTTGCTTAATGATTTATAGAGGTTCGGTCCAACCATTTGGAGCCTAGTCCTCTACCTTGGCTTCACTCACTAAGGATTTCCTCCACACTCTCCACTAACAACAACAAGGGTGGCTTAAAGGAGCCACTCAATCCTTTTATAAGAAGAAGGGTGTTTCTCTCAAATCTCACCCCTTTACACTTAAACCCCAAGAATCCTCTCTACAAATCACTCTTGAAGGATTAATCACACCCCCAATATCACTCACAAATAGAGCAAGAAGAGGATTACAAGTAAAGATCTCTCAAAGATTAAAAACTCAAGTTAAAGCTCATGTAGGTAGGTAAAGATATTCAATACAATGCTATCTAAACCTCCTTCAAATTTTCTACCAACCATATTTATAACCCCATGGTCGAAAATAGCCGTTACTAGCCATTGGGGGTCATTTAATGCTCTGCAGGACACAAAGCTCGAGTTGCAGGATTGTCATGAGAGCCGGCTTAGCTACCTAAAGTCGGCTCTGAACAACCGGCTCACCATTTTTGCAGCCGGCTTTGTGGGATTCTGCACATTCTGTTTTCTCCGTAGAGCCAACTGCAAAACACAAAGCCGGCTTTGCGGGTTTGCTGAACATTCTGTTTTCTTGGACAGCCGGCTGCAAAAAACGTAAAGTCGGCTTTGATATTTTAACTTTAAAAATATTAATTATTCTTCAAATAAGTCAACTGTTGTGCATTAAATGCACCCTTACAGCTAGCTGCAAAGTTAGAGTCGGCTCTGCGTCTTCTCTCCGCACGCGCCAAACAATGGACCTTTAAATCTTTACCTATAGAGCCGGCTACAGCTTCCAAAGCCAGCTCTCTACACTTCCATTTCACTAGAGCCGGCTGTAGCTTTCAAGAGATGGCTCTCTATAGATATTCAAGCCTTTCTAGTCCATTTTTAAGTGCAATCCAAGTTTAAGTGCAATCCAAGTTTACTTGCAATCTTTTAGCAACTTAACTACACAATTAAATAAACCAATTAGTCACTCAAATGTGTTTTGTAATCATCAAAATCATAGATACAACAAAATCCTCATTTCACAATCCCTGGTTTACAAATCAATTTGCTGTATTAGCTACACCTTATAAAGGAGGCAGGTCTTGGTTGTTCGCCATGAATATGTCACCTAAACCTTCTTTTTTACCCCATCAATTGCGGCAATCAAAATTAGCCCTAAATCCTCTTATTTCCATATTTAACTACTTCCTAGTCTAGAAGTAGAGTGTCTTTGTTTTGCCTCTGCTGCCACATGGTTCTTGAAGGAATCTCTTAGTCACCATGCTCCCCTTATTTCACTCTTCTATTATAGATGTTTTAGGATTGCCCATAACTTCTCCCCATAAGGTTGTTCTGTTATATGTATCATTTCCATCTCCAACCTCAACTTACAATCCCTTTTAATATGGTCTAACATCTCACAACAAAAATTTGGTAATTACTCATATTGAAAATCTACCTAACTTGGACCCTTCTTCAATGTGAGTTTCATGCCACACCTTAGTGGTTTTCTAGTGTCTATAAAGACTTTGACT